TCAAACCTCTAACAGAAAAATAAAAAAAATACCTGAATAAAAAAGTATAAAAATAATAAGTAATAAAAAATTTGAAATAAAAGAATTAAAAATTAAATATATGAATTTTTAATTTCTAACTGATAGAGACAATTTATAATTGATTTTAAAGTTTGACGGTCCCCAGCAGAGTCGCCAAGCTGTCGTAACCGTTTTTCGTCCGGGCACGAATTTTTATACTCGACGGGAAAAGTGATGTGAATAAATGGTTTTTAAAATAATTTGGGAGTCGCCATCGGCCTTTTGGGTCAGGTAGGTCGAATACCTAAAAAATTATATTTTAAAAGAGTTTTTAAGAAAACATCAGTTAAAAGATAAACTGATATGCGTTTTAACCAAAAATTCGTTCTTTTTAATAATAAAAGGGATTCGTGGTCGGTTACGTTTAGGGAAGGATTAGCACCCCTACAACACCCAAAATCGGTACTTTTTAATTAGAAATTGTCTCTATTATTAGAAATTAAAAATTCAAAATATATTTAATTTATAATCCTATTTAATTTAAATTTATTACTATAATTTTAATAAAATATATTAATATATACCTTTATTTTTATAAATAAGATATTTATTTATTTAGAAATATCAGAAAAGGGCTTCTAGTTGCTTTAAGACAGCTCTTTTCTTAATATTAATAAATAAATAAATGTTAATAAAACATTTATCTAAAAATATATTAATATATGATTTATAAAAATATGACATTTATTTATTTAAGAATATCAGAAAAGGACTTCTAGGTATTTTAAGACAGCTCTTTTCTTAGATATTAAAAAATAAATACATACCAAAATATGTTTATTTTTCTTAAAAGTAATTTATAAAATTAAATTTATAAATAGGAATTTTATTTAATAAACAAATAGAATAAATAAATAAATATTATATAAATATATTTATATAACTTAATAATAATAATAATAAAATTATCATGAAGATAATAATTTAAACATATATCAAACGTAATAATAAAATAAAATAATAATAATTAAAATGAAAGAAATTAAAAGTAATAATATTAAAAACTAATGAATCATATTTATAAATATATGAACTTAAAAATTTAAAAATAATAAAACTTATGGTTAAAATTAAGATTATATAAAATTTAATGATCAAATTATAAAATATAAATATTTAAGAGACATGATTAGAATTATCATAAAATATAAATACTAGTAGTGTAATTAACCATTATTTATTTAATCGGTGATTAAAATAGAAATATTAAATTTATTAGGGACTAAATATGATATTTATCCTAAATATATTATTTAATACTGGTAAGGATTAAAACATAATAAAATTTGAAAACTGAATTAGAACATTCAGAAGTTAGTTTTAGTGACTAAAATGAATAATTATAAAACTCGGATGACTACGGAGAGGGTTTAGCCATACATGTAAATTACGCATATACCCCTTCCCAAAACGACGTCGTTCGGGAAGGTATATATATAACCCTTCATAGCTGGCCCGAAGGGCCAGCAGCCTCATTCTTCTCTTCTTCTTCTTCTCTAAAAAACGAGAGAAGAAGAAGCTCTCTCTCGGTTCTCTCTAGCTTCCCTCATCGGAGGGAAGCCGGTTACCGGGCGGCAGCCGTCTACCGCCGTAATCCCTGCCGCCGGCCACCGCCTCCGGTGACCGAAAATTCCCAAATTTACCTAAAATATAGATCTAAATGCCCTAAGACCGAATCCGATCTTTTTTTTCCCTAAAAACCCTTAGGTTCCTGTAGATCTAATTTTTTTACCTCCGAACTTTTGTTTCCACGGTGGTTCGGCAGCTCTTCGATGGTGAGTTTCTTCTCCGTTTCTCTCATTCTGTCTTTCGTTTTCTTTGGATACGGTTGCTCTCGTCGTTACTGTGTTGTGTCTTACTGGGTATCTTTTTTTGTTCCGTTTGCTGTCGATTTTTTTTTGTAGGTGGTCGATGGCTTTTATAGCCATCGACGGTGTAGCTCTCGAACCGGTCTCAAATGGTGACCCTAGGTGAGTCACCGGACTAAGGTGGTGACTCACCATAGGGTTTCAACGTGGGGCAGAAACGAGGTGCTTCTGGAGGCTTCGGTTGAAGGTGGCTTCGTGGAGGCGTGGCAGCTGGCTGAGACATCGACGTGGGGCGGCTGGAGGCAGAGGCGACGCCGCGTGGTCCCTAGGGTATCATAACCCTAGGGTTTTTTGTTGGGGAGCTTTGGACCGTTGGATATTGTCAGATCCAACGGCTGAGATTGAGGCGGCTGGGATGAAGATGCAAGAAACCCTAGAGTTTAGGGTTACTGTTGGGTCTCCCTTGGGCTTGAATTGGGCTTCAGGATCTGGGCCTTTTTGTTGGGCTTCTGATGTAATTTGTAATATATATATTTAATAATAAATAATAATAATATAATAATAATAATAATAATAATATTATAATAATAATAATAATTTTAATAATAATAAACGAAAAATTAGTGTTTACACTCTTGATTTCGGAAAGACAACCCAAGAAGGTATTGTGACACAGTAACTCCATCCCGTTCGATGATCATGTGGCCAAACAGTTTCCCTCCCATTCTGCATGTATATGTCAATTGAATAAGTACTAAAACAATGAGAACATGAACGAAGGACATCAAAAATCAATTCCTTTCTATGTTAAAAGAAAAAACGAAAATCCATGTCAATATTAAAATTATAACTCAGCCCTTACTTTAAGATGTTCTTGATAGAGTTCACCTATGACCTTCCTTAATTAAAATTACTACTAAATTTCAGCTGCAAATACTTAAAAACCATGGGAACTCTGTAAATGCTTAAAACCAGCTCATGAGGTCTTATATAGACATGGGAAACAAATCTAGAATTTTAAATTGACTAGATAATACATTTAAAAACTGATAATGCAATGACGAAAAAAATAAACTGATAACGTAAAAGCAATAAATGCACTGTATTCTCAATAAATATTACGACGACAACATAAGTTACTGAAACAATCTAGCAATAAAGTCCAATCTCGTCATTGCAAAATCAATAGTCTGATTTTCTTTTGATCTCGATCCAATGTAAAACTAACTCTATATATTAACTATGGTTCAAAATTCTAGAAATTCATGAACTGACCTCTTCTATCGCCAGAAAAGCTGAGCGCTAATTCGAATTCCAAGCTAATTTCAAATGAAATCAAATAAAAAGGAGATGAAATCGTGGGAAATCTTACCCATTTACGAGGGGGCGGACTCCAATCCATCCCGAGAGGCAATGGCGAAGTCCCGTCGTGCCTGTGCTTCGGTGGACTCCGTCTCTGCATCATTTATATCTTCTTCTTTTTTCCTCAATCTATACAACGATTACGATCTCTGTCTTGGGATCGAAAATGAACATTCAAATTAAAACAGGGCGAGGAGCTTTAGGGTTTATGTGATCGGATCAGGGTGGAAGTAGACAACTGGAGCAATAGCGTCGACATGTGTTAGACGTGGGAATTTCAATTTTAGAATTTAGTAAAGATTTTGTGCGTTTTATATTAGAAGGCGGGGAAGTGGGCTTAGGAGTTAGGGGAATGGCCCGCCGGAATTAATTACCCTATCTACTTGAATGGATGTTTTAAATTCATTACTGCTTCACATTTTTTTCACGTAAAACCTTCATAAAAACATTTTAAAAATATATATTTTTAATTAACTGAAGACAATTTTAATATATATAACAGTATGAATTTTTTAGAGAAATAATATAAATAATCATTAAATTAAATTAATTTTTTTAATAACTGAAATTTTAAAAATTAGAAAATGATTATTAAATTTTTTAGATAATTATAAAATAATAATAGTATGTTATAAAATAGTGATACTTTTTTTTGCATGTTTAAGTATTTTTTTACAAAAAAAAAGGAATCATTTTATAATAATTTAGTAAGTTTAATGATTTTTTACAATAATTTGATAAAATTCAATGATTTTTTTGTTATCATTTGAGAAATATAATAATTATTTGTGTTGTTGATGTTGTTATGAATCCCTTGAGATCTATTATTGCGGACATACCAAGTTTGAAAAGTCATAATTGGTCTCTCATTTTCTACCATGAATATCGTGAAGATAATTTTTGCGTCGATGTTCTCTTCGAGATGTACGTTTATCTCGAAGATGAACTATTGATTTATGCTTCTCGTCCGCTGGAAGTTCTTTCTTCTTTAAAAGTTGATTGAATGGGAGTATCCTTACCGATAGGATATACTCCGGCTTAACCAGCATTACGTTATTTCTCTATGTAATAAAAAATATTATTTTTAAATTATTAAAAATGTAAAATTATTTTATATTTAATGAATAAAATAATATTTATAAAATTTATTCGAATTTCTATCAATCATCTTATAAATGTGATCCTATGACTTTAAGAATAAGAAATTATTTCATTTACTTCTCTCACAACAAAAATAGAAAACTTATTTGAAATTTTATCAATTGTTTTATAAGGGTAGGTCAAGCTATTAAATTTTATTTTATTGTATTTTTTATATAATAAATTTTAGGGTAAGTTACATATTCAATACTTAAATTATCAGTTTTGATCCGTTTTAGTACTTAAACTTTTAATTTTTTTCAAAACCATACATTACGTTTAGTTTTTGTTTCATTTTAGTACAATGTGTTAAATGTTTAACGCGTTTAGTACCTAAACTATCAATTTTAGTCTGTTTTCGTATCTATTTTTTATTTTTTTCAAAATTAACATTAAATTTTGAACGGGGTACAAGAACTAAACTTTAGGTATGATTTGAAAAAAAAAATTAAAGTTTAGATATTAAAATAGTTCAAAGTTTACGTACTAAATGCTGAATTTACCCTAAATTTTAGAAACATTTTCCCACGTGTCTAGAAAGCCGAGACAGTATCTATTGAAGCTTGGGATCAAGGAAGAATATAGACAAAGTTCATAGGTTGAAACCTCTGTTATTGAGCAATGGGAATCTCCAAGCTGTATGGACAATAGCAAACTCACATCATTTCCTTCATTATACGAAAAGCAAAATCAAACAAAGAGAAAACACCAAAGAGCCAACTCCCATGTTCTTATCTAAATTATTTTTTTTTATTTTGATTTCGATCATCCCAGCCGATTAATCTAGAAAGTCAAAGAACAGTTTTCATTATCCCGATCCAGCTCACTCAAAATCAATTAATTTTATATAAATCTTAAGGAATAATGGAAGGAAGTTCGTTCTGAGGAGCAAAGCTGCTGTCTTTTCAGATTAATCCATCGAAGCGATCTATTGAGAGAGAGGCTTTCGAGTTTAGATGGCGATACTGTACGCGCTCGTTGCGCGTGGATCGGTAGTGCTGGCGGAGTTCACGGCGGCGTCGACTAACGCGAGTTCGATCGCCAAGCAGATTCTGGAGAAAATACCAGGAGACAACGACACTCACGTTTCGTATTCGCAGGATCGTTTCATTTTCCATGTCAAACGCACCGATGGACTCACCGTTCTTTGTATGGCCGATGCAAGTGCTGGAAGTAAGCTAAATAAGCTGTCTCGTTATTTAATTTAGATGTAATTTTTGCTAAACATATGCTTTTTTATTCTTCTTCTTTTTTCTGAAATTTAACTTATATTTAGTTGACGCGATGGATTACAGTTCAATTTCGATTGCTCTTTCAAGTATTTTTGAATTCTTTTCATTCTAAAGAGAAATTAGTGATAAAGGCAGGCGGTTGAGAAGAAAGTTTGTAAGTTCTATGATTGGTTGACAATCTAGAGTTTGATCATGAGTTGAAAATGGTATAAGGGATGTTTTTTGCTGATCATATCCTTTCGTCAATTGTAGCAATAGATACCTTTTCTGAGAAATTATCAGTTCTCTTATTCTATTGAAGGAATACTCACCTTTTACTTTATGCTTATGAGCTGGAAATGGGGATACTAATGTTCTTCAGAACACTGAATGTTCATTATCCAGATTGAAAGTTTATACCTCTTCTTTGTTTAGAACTCCTTGGTAACTTGGTTCCAACGATGCTGATGGTGGATGTGCTTATTGTATCTTTGGCAGGGAGAATTCCTTTTGCATTTCTTGAAGACATACACCATAGATTTGTGAGGACATATGGAAGAGCAGTATTTTCAGCCCTTCCTTACGGCATGAATGATGAATTTTCAAGGGTTTTGAGCCAGCAGATGGAATATTACTCGAGTGACCCTAATGCCGATAGGATAAACCGACTAAAAGGTGAAATGAGCCAGGTAGGCTTTGAATGGCTCGTTATCAGGTTATCGATTCTTTCATTCTAATTCATCTAGATTCGTATCGGCGTGTTCAACCATCTTAATCATGGTGTTTATTTGAATGCATAAGGATGATCTTACACCTGTAAAAATGAACTAGTTTGCTGTCAGGCATCACATTGAAAATTTCTAATATCGATCTTATATTGCCAACAATTTAACATGTTATATTTAAGGGGATCCCTACTTTTAGTTGCAGGCTGCAGCTATGGCCTTTTCACTTACATTTTCTTCCTTCACATTTCCTTTTCAAGCATTGTCTGAACTTTTCAAGTTGTTTCTTGTACTTAAATAGGTGAGAAACGTTATGATAGAGAATATCGACAAAGTTTTAGAGAGAGGCGACCGCTTGGAATTGCTGGTCGACAAAACTGCTAGCATGCAAGGAAATACCTTTCGCTTCAGAAAGCAAACTCGACGTTTTAGAAACACAGTATGGTGGAGAAACGTCAAGCTTACGTATGATTTCTGAACTTTAGAACCTCGCTTTTTTGTATGTTACATTCACCGCATTGGACTAGAAAGTGAAATCTACCATAAAGATCATACTTTCCCAGTAAACCAGTTAGCCTTAAGGTACAATAGATAAAGAAGGAAAGATGAACTTATCCCTCATTGTCTTGCTTTGCACATTGCAGGGTTGCTCTGATAATCCTCCTCCTAATTATCATTTATGTCGTGCTGGCTTTCGTCTGTCACGGGATCACGCTACCTTCGTGCCTAAAATGAGGTCAGCAATTCGAGATTCGAAGAACTCCGTCCGTCCCCATGGAATCCTGTTTTCTTGGCTCGGTGATGCTTTTGTTTCAACTTCCTCTGCAGTGAGTTGTACACTATCTGTTTATTCAATGTGAAAGAACCAGAGTTTTCATGCTGCTGTTGTGTAACCATAGTTTCTTGTGAAATTTGGGACTGCTGCTTGGTGTTTGTCTCTTGAAGACATTGGATTATGTATACATGTCAAGTTATTCATTAGATATATCGATTACTTCGCCGGTTGTGTATACCTAGGGGTAAATACAATGCAGTATATGTTCAAAGATAAACTCTTAACCTTTCGACATTGAACTCTCACACCTCTAGCATCTATGGTGCTTAAACCCGAGTCTTTAAGGAATAACAACAATTTTTTTATCACGGAGATCACTTGGTTCGTTTTAAAAAAATTAATGTTTGAGAAATATTTTTTTAATTTTTCTTGTAACTACTATAGATATTAGGCTTATATTATAAATCAGTATCTAAAGCACAACATCTTTTTATTGGAATACTTAAAATAATTTTTTATATAAATAACTACTTAAAGTATTTTTTTTGTTAAAATAGGTATTTAAAATATTTAATTTTTTGTTTAAGTTCTAAAAATTTACACATAATATTAATTAAAGAATAATTTAGGTAGTTAAATAAAAAATATAATATATTTTAGCTACATATTTTAATAAAAAATACTTTAAATACTTATTTTAATAAAAATGATAATTTTAAATATTTACTATGAAAAAATATATTTAAATGTCTAGATAAAAATTATTATCATTTATCTTCTTATTTGTAATATAATCTAAATATTAGTATTAACTTAAATTTTAATAAATTTATTATTATTTTGGGTAGAGAACTTAAATGGTTCTCTGACAATAGGGTACTATCTTATTAAATCTATTGACAATTAAAAATTATAAAATGGTCATTTGATTATATAATATTACTTTGTTGAGTCCATCGACTATTAAAAGTTATAAAATAGTCACTCGACTATTCATTATGTTCCAAATGTCGTTTTATGTTAAAAAAAAGACGATGTCATGAGTTTAATGTTAACTTGTTGACTTTGATTTGATAAAATTTGATCCTAAAATCTCAAACGACTATCATATTTCAGTCATCATGTTAACATCGAGTTTAAACAAACATTAAATTTTTAATGAAAAATGACGAGTTTATAACGTAATGAATAGTTAAATGATTATTTTATAACTTTTAATAGTCAAATAACTTAACGAAACAATACTTCATAATTATAAAATTATTTTATAAATTTTAATAATAGAGTGATCTAATAAAATACTATCCTTTAATATAACCTATTATTTTTTACCTCTGGTAGATTCCTTTCCTTACGACTTGTCGATGAAGAGAGAGATACATAATGATGAATCAATCTCGATTATGTGAATAGAGGTCGAAACGCACGTGTACACACATTCCGTGGCCAATCAGATTTATTCTTCGAACAAATCAGACGGCAGAAGAAAAGAACCAACCGCACTGATATTTACAAAAAAGCAGTGCACCGAAAGCCAAGTGGAGTGAGTAATAGGGGAAAATGCAGGTACATGGTTAAGTATCGTGCACCCCTCATTGTCCCCCTCTTAACAATGTTTACATCACCCCTCTTTCCGGGTCGGTATTTAAATCCTGCTCGCGAGGGGTGAAAAGAAAATATTTAAATAAGGAAATCCCCGACAAAGAGAAGAAGGAGAGGGAACGCAATGAAGCAGAGCTCACCTGAGGCAGTCTCGTCATCGTCTTCCTCTATACCCAGCTTACCCGTCCAATCACAGCCGGCCACTTCATCACATGTAACCGAAAACCACCACCACTTTAACAATAATAGCAATAACAAAACCTTGGCGTCGATATCAGCGGCGGATGATTTAGCTGGGGTAGGGTCGAGGGACGGAAGCGCGGCGGCGCATGAAACGGTGACCGTCGATCGACGAGGTGAATATTCGGCGGTGTGTAGATGGACGGTTCATAATTTCCCGAGAGTCAAAACTAGGGCACTATGGAGCAAGTACTTTGAGGTAGGCGGTTACGATTGCCGTTTATTGGTGTATCCGAAAGGGGACTCTCAGGCTTTGCCTGGCTACATATCGGTGTATCTCCAAATCATGGACCCGAGGGGCACGTCGTCGTCAAAATGGGATTGCTTCGCTAGCTACCGGTTAGCTATCGTCAATCTAGCCGACGATCCCAAGACCATTCATCGTGATTCGTGGCATCGTTTCTCGAGCAAGAAGAAATCTCACGGTTGGTGCGATTTCACGCCCTCTTCTACTGTTTTCGATTCCAAATTAGGTTATCTACTGAGCAACGATGCCGTTTTAATCACTGCTGATATCTTAATCTTGAATGAATCCGTTAGTTTTACCCGTGATAATATCGATGCTCAATCTTCATTGTCTTCCATGGTTTCGAATTCCGTTGTTGCCAGTCCCGTTTCTGATGTTTTGAGTGGCAAATTCACATGGAAAGTGCATAATTTTAGTTTGTTTAAGGAAATGATTAAGACTCAGAAGATAATGAGCCCAGTTTTCCCTGCTGGGGAGTGTAATTTGAGGATTAGTGTGTATCAAAGCTCAGTTAATGGGCAGGAATATTTGTCTATGTGTTTGGAGAGTAAGGATACAGATAAAACAGTCATTTCTGATCGGAGTTGCTGGTGTTTGTTTAGAATGTCAGTCCTGAATCAGAGACCAGGGTCGAACCATATGCACAGAGACTCATATGGGAGATTCGCGGCCGATAATAAGAGTGGGGATAATACTAGTTTGGGTTGGAATGACTGCATGAAGATGTCGGATTTTGTTGGGCTAGAGGAAGGGTTTTTGGTGGATGATACTGCTGTATTTAGCACCTCGTTTCATGTGATCAAGGAGTTTGGTAGTTTCTCCAAGAATGGAGTGTTGGTTGCAGGTAGGACTGGTAGTGGAGCAAGGAAATCTGATGGACATATGGGAAAATTCACTTGGAGGATTGAGAATTTTACAAGATTAAAGGATCTTCTGAAGAAAAGGAAGATAACAGGTCTTTGCATCAAGAGCAGGAGATTTCAGATTGGAAACCGGGATTGTCGTCTCATTGTTTATCCTCGAGGTATGCAAGAGTCATTGTAACCGTTTAATGAAATGGATTTTGTGGTCATTTTTCTATTGGACAAACTGACCGATACTTCTAGTTAAAGAAAGTGATGTGTTTGTTGACATTTTCCCTTTTTCTTGGTTAAAATAAAATATAATTGTAGATAGTGACAAAGATGGTTACATGCTTGTTGTTGTCACCCCCCGCAATTTTTTTAATACAATTCTAATTGGTTAGCTTAAGCTTCCGTATTTTGTGTCTCTAGATTCATGTATGATTGACTTGAAAATGGTTTTGGCTTTATTGGCACTTTTAGGGAAGCAGTGACTGATTTTTTAGCACTCACTACTGGTAGTGAAGCTATTTGTCACTTTATATACATGTATGATGTGGTCCGTGGATTCAAAATAAATTAAAAGGGAATTTATGGAGGAAGAGCTGTATTCTACCTTTGTAATCTGGTTTGTCACAAGTCTTATGATCCTTGCATCCGTGACAAGGTGACATGGGATGATTGTTGCTAAATTGTGTTTGGAACATGTACTGATTGAAGTTTCCCATGGCTTGATTCTATCAGGGCAGTCCCAGCCACCGTGCCACCTTTCTGTGTTTCTTGAGGTTACAGATTCACGAAATACTTCAAGTGACTGGAGCTGTTTTGTGAGTCATCGGCTGTCTGTTGTGAACCAAAAGATGGAGGAGAAGTCGGTTACAAAAGAATCTCAGAACCGCTACTCTAAAGCTGCAAAGGACTGGGGTTGGCGTGAATTTGTGACGCTTACCAGCTTATTTGATCAAGATTCTGGGTTTCTTGTTCAGGACACTGTTGTATTTTCTGCGGAGGTCCTTATTCTGAAAGAGACATCAATAATGCAGGATTTCACTGTTCAGGATACTGAGTCAGCAAATACTGCTCTTCAGATAGAAACGGTTGGAAAGAGAAGTGCATTCACATGGAAGGTGGAGAACTTCTTATCTTTCAAGGAGATAATGGAAACCCGCAAAATTTTTAGCAAATTTTTTGAAGCCGGTGGATGTGAGCTTCGAATTGGTGGGTGATTGTCTCCAATCGGTTCCCCACTGAACATTTTGTTTTAGTTGTTTCTCATGATTAACTGGCTGTTTGTGATGCAGGTGTGTATGAGTCCTTTGACACCATTTGTATATATTTGGAGAGTGATCAATCAGTTGGTAGTGATCCTGACAAAAACTTCTGGGTTAGATACAAAATGGCTGTAGTGAATCAAAAAAATCCAGCCAAGACTGTCTGGAAGGAATCTTCTATTTGTACAAAGACATGGAATAATTCTGTTTTGCAGTTTATGAAGGTATCTGATATGTTAGAAGCAGATGCAGGGTTTCTTGTACGTGACACTGTTGTTTTTGTTTGTGAAATATTGGATTGCTGCCCTTGGTTTGAGTTCTCAGATCTTGAGGTTAGTATCATTTGGATCTCTTTTATTTTATGCATTGTTTTCTCTTCTAGATAGGCAAGTTTTGTTTATATTCAGTTTTCAGATTTAGAGGTTGTCTATTTGGGGTTTCTGTTTACATAGCTTATGGGACAGAAAAGATTTCCTTTTCTACCTTCTACAAGGATTTGGAACTTTTTGTCTTTACCTGAAGGTCGTGTAAACTTGATCCTTATCAACTTATTTGGCTTGGTTCTTCTGAACCACCCTCTGCTGTGCTATTTTCTTGTTTGTTCTCATGCTGACTACTTTCACAGAATCAGGAAGGAACTAATGAAGGATATATAAATTTACTCATAATATCTTTTTCTTTATGTTTCAAATGAATTAGCTCAGCATTTTGATGTTTGCTTTCTCCACATTTGACAGGTTTTGGCTTCTGAGGATGATCAGGATGCTTTAACAACTGATCCTGATGAACTCATTGATTCTGAAGACAGTGAAGGTATAAGTGGGGATGAAGATGATGTCTTTAGAAACCTTCTTTCCCAAGCTGGATTTCACATTACATATGGAGATAATCCATCACAGCCACAGGTCACTTTACAAGAGAAACTTCTGATGGATGCTGGAGCAATTGCTGGTTTTCTGACTGGACTTCGTGTTTACCTCGATGACCCTGCCAAAGTAAAGCGCTTGCTGCTTCCAACAAAGCTCTCTGGTAATGGTGATGGAAAGAAGGCTTTGAAGAACGATGGATCTTCACCAAGTTTGATGAATTTGCTTATGGGAGTCAAAGTTTTGCAGCAGGCAATTATTGATCTACTCTTGGATATAATGGTTGAATGTTGCCACCCCTCCGAAAGAGTTGCACATGGTGATCCTTCAGATGTAAACTCTAAACCTTCTTCTGATGGTAGTGAAACTGCTAGCTCACTGGTTTGTGATAGGGAAAATGGAGGTGCAGAATCTACTCATTTTCCTTTGTATGAACGATTGGATTCTTTTGTGGATGATGGTATCACTGCCTCTGCTGTACAAAGCTCTGGCGTGAATGGGATTAATATCTCTGGAAAACCCATTCTCGGACAGCCTATTACTCCACCAGAAACCTCTGCTGGGGGTTCTTCTGAGAATTCCTCCCTTCGCTCAAAAGTATGTTTTGTGAATAATGTTGAATTCAAATAGTAATCATGTAATTTTTTTGTTCAATGATTATTAATCAATTCCTGAACAACTTGAATTTCCAGACCAAGTGGCCTGAGCAATCTGAGGAGCTTTTAGGGTTGATTGTTAACTCTTTGAGATCTCTAGATGGAGCTGCTCCACAAGGCTGTCCAGAGCCAAGGCGGAGGCCCCAGTCTGCACAGAAGATCTCTCTTGTTTTGGATAAAGCTCCTAAGCATCTGCAACCGGACTTAGCTGCATTGGTGCCTAAATTGGTAGAGCATTCAGAGCATCCACTGGTTGCTTATGCACTTCTTGAACGACTTCAAAAGCCTGATGCAGAGCCTGCATTGCGAATACCTGTAAGAGAGTTTTCTTTAATGGACTTAATTTCTTTTACGTTATGGTATTTGTGGGCTGTTCCATTAGGACTTGCTTTAAGAGAAATCAGTTTATGAACATTTGGCTCAAATTTCAAACGGACTATTGTTTTGAAATATGTTTTTTTTTCATTATAAAGTTCATTTCTTTATCTTCGATCTGCTAATAATGATTCTTCTATTTCAGGTATTTGGAGCACTCAGTCAACTGGATTGTGGCAACGAAGTCTGGGAACACATCTTATTTCAATCTTTTGAGCTATTAACAGGTCCAAATGATGAACTTCTGGCTGCAACCATAGATTTCATCTTTAAAGCTGCATCACAATGCCAACATCTTCCCAAAGCAGTATGTTTATCTTTATCATTTCGTTGTTGTATTCCACATATTAACATAATTTCCTGTTGTATATATAACTATTTTGATTCTCTTCTGCAGGTTAGATCTGTTCGTGTTAGGCTAAAAGAATTGGGACAGGAGGTGCCTCCTTGTGTTCTTGATTTTTTAAGTAAAATTGTAAATAGTTGGGGAGATGTTGCTGAGACCATATTTAGAGAGATAGATTGTGATGAGGATTTCAATGGAAATCTCCCGGCAATGGCTTGTGGGTTCTTGTTTGGTGAAAATGGACCCACTTGTGAAAGATTGCATGTGGTGGATGAGCAAGCTTTTTGCTCTGGTCATCATTTTTCTGACATTTATATTCTGATTGAGATGCTATCCATACCTTGCCTTGCTGTTGAAGCTTCTCAAACATTTGAGAGAGCTGTGGCTCGAGGAGCCATTTCGGTTCAGTGTGTAGCCATGGTCTTGGAAATGCGTCTAGCTCAGAGATCGAATGTCAATGCCGTATATGTTGCTGAAAGCTTTAAGCAGGGGGATGCTGTTGTAGAGGGAGAAGCCAGTGAGCAGCTTAGGGTTCAACGGGATGAGTTCTCTTCAGTTCTGAGTCTTGCTGAGACATTAGCACTCTGTAGAGATCTTCGTGTCAGGGACTTTGTGAAAATGCTTTATACAATATTATTCAAGTGGTATGCTGACGAGTCCTCCCGAGTGAGGATGATGAAAAGACTTGTTGATCGTGCTACCAGCACTACAGAAAGTAGTCGTAAAGTGGACATAGATTTGGATGTTTTGGTTATTTTGGTTTCTGAAGAGCCAGAAATTATTAGACCTGTTCTGAGCATGATGCGAGAAGTTTCTGAACTTGCAAATGTTGATCGAGTAGCACTTTGGCACCAGTTATGTGCTAGTGAGGATACAATTATCCGCATGCGTGAAGAGAGCGAGACTGAAATTTCAAACATGGTTAGGGAAAAAGCTACTATATCCCTAAAATTAAGCGAATCTGAGGCCACGAATAATCGTCTCAAGGTATGCCTCTTTAACTAATGGTACGTTCTACGATTGCTATCCCATCTCTATTCTTTTCAGGAAGTTCTTAAAGTTACATCTTATACATTGACAGTCTGAAATGAGGGGTGAGATGGATCGATTTGCTCTGGAAAAGAAGGAACTTTCTGAACAAATACAGGAGGTTGAGAACCAACATGAGTGGCTTCGCACCGAGAGGGATGATGAAATTAAAAAACTCACAGCTGAGAAGAAAGCACTTCAGGATCGTCTTCATGATGCAGAGACACAGCTCTCCCAGTTGAAGTCTCAGAAACGTGATGAATTGAAGGTACTTGGTTGGGATGATAAATATGCGTTGCATCTTTGCTTTTGCTTTGTGATTCCTTCGACTGCTATCTTTACTGCTTTATCTGACAAGAAGGTATGTATGTGATAGAGGGTAGTAAAGGAGAAGAACGCTCTTGCTGAAAGATTGAAGAGTGCTGAAGCTGCGCGGAAAAGATTTGATGAAGAATCAAAACGGTATGCCACTGAGAACGTGACCCGAGAAGAAATTCGTCAATCGCTTGAGAATGAAATTCGTAGATTGACACGAACAGTTGGCCAAACTGAAGGTGAAAAGCGGGAAAAGGAAGAGCAGATTGCTAGGTGTGAAGCATATATTGATGGCATGGAATCAAAGTTGCAGGCCTGCCAGGTTTTCCCCTCACCATCACCATTTTTTATGTTGAATTTCTAGGAGATTTCAGCTGTTTATTGGATAAGACATAGTGCAGAGATTCGGGTTCAAATTTGAATTAAATAATGCTTTTTGTGTTTGCGTGTGTGTGTGTCCCTCTCATTTATGCGTTTTCTTCTGCAGCAATATATTCACACACTTGAAGCTTCTCTCCAAGAAGAAATGTCACGACATGCTCCTCTCTATGGTGCTGGTTTGGAAGCTTTGTCGATGAAGGAATTGGAAACATTGTCGAGGATTCACGAGGAAGGGCTGAGGCAAATCCATGCTCTCCAGCAACGGAAAAGCAGTCCGACTGGTACTCCTCTTGTAAGTCCCCATACTATCCCACACAATCATGGGTTATACACTACAGAACCACAACCAATGGCTGTTGGACATCCACCGCCTTCCCTCCTCCATAACAGTGTAGGAATCCACGGAAATGGGCATGTGAACGGGACTGTCAGGCCTTGGTTCAATCGTGGTTGAGACGTTGAGTTTCTAGAGCCACCTTTTTACGTTGTGCCGGTGCCGGCGCATTAGTAGGTTTACCCCCCCCCCCCCTTCCCCATAGAGCTTATGAACATCACCGTTTGAGGGGATGTCCCTTTACTGAATTATCTTTTTTCTGGCAATTTTTTAAACTGGTAGAACTGTTGGAGCCCATTTGTGACATCCAAATCCAATGGGACTAACAGTTGGAAATATGCTTTTTTTTTACCCTCTTTGCCTCAAATTTTATAAATTTTGATTAGGCTTTTATCAAATACTAATTTGTGTTTTAAGAGCTTCTTTTATACAATCCGATTCAGAAGGACAAATATAATTTTAAAATTTTCCAGACTCCTCTATATATTTAAAAGATCACAGTCCAACTTAGGGATGACAAACGGGCGGGTCGGATGCGGATATTCTCTCCCCCATCCTCATACCCATCTAATATTTTTAAATTCGTCACCCGCCCACCACCCATAATACGTAAAAAATTTCAAATTCAGACCCTCTAACGTGGGTACATTTTCAAATTCTTCTCCACACCCACTACCCAACTGGAGACGTATTCGGTTAGACCCGCCTGAAAGCATATATTTTATACAATATTAAGATTTATAAATTAGTCTATAAAATTATACCTAAATTCATAATGATCCAAAATTTAATGGGTATTTAGTGGGCGGGCGGATACGGGGCGGGCAAGGTCTCAAACCTATCACCTGCCCACTACCCGCGACGGGTACCACTTTCTAAATCCACACCCGCCCATTACCCACTAAAGTTATACATTCCCGCCCCAATTGGAGCGGGTACGGTGCGAAATTCACGAAATTGTATCTGTTTGCCATCCTAATCCAACTGATATTTGGAAATTAATTCAAATTATAGCAAGCAAGATATAATATAATACTACCAGATATGCAACCCACAAATCCCTTACTTGTATTCCGTAGGAACAATGTTGGACCTTGAAATAAAAATGGATTTGATTTTCTTTGCTATATAGCAAGGGAGACAAGGAAGTGAAGTATATAAGACTATCAATATTAAGCTGTAGCTTTTATAGTCAAGCCGGAGTATCAGAAACAGAGACTAATCCGTAGCCTTGATAACCCCAAGTTCCCTCAGTGCTGCATTCTTCAGCTAGGAGGATGTTGGGACTGTCGGATGGAAGGACATGTTCTAGAGGGTAGCTTCTGTTGTAGTGAAGCTTAAGAGCAGTGTTGCCGATTCCTATATGTCATAACCATTTTTTTGAAAAACAATTAGTTAAAAAAACAATTATGACTTCTATTTGAAAAATTGGTAATTTATAAATTAATTTGAATTAAATTGAATGGGAGTCGCCGTCGACCTTTGAGATAAGTAAGTCGAATACCTAAAAACGTCTTTTAAAATAATTTTAAGAAATCGTTTTCAAAACACTCAACAGCTAAGAATTTAAAAGATCTCCATTCTCAACTCAGCAAACTTCAATTAATGAAACCAAACTAGCTGAATTAAAACAACGATAAGCTAATTTGATTTCGAATTCGAATAGTAATCGTCGGACTAAATGTGAAAGATAAAGCAGATTTGTAAATTCGGATTTTGATTCTATAGAAACTGTAAACATCCAACCCATTGTCGACCTTAACTATAACCAAAACTCGAAATGTATGTCGAGTGTGCTCGTTGAATCCTCCAAAAGCTTTTATCTTCTAGGAGCCCCAGTTTGGAATGTTTGATGTGGCTTCGTTGACCATTTTCACCAGAGTTACCTGCCACAATGTAATTTCATTACAACATTGTATGATGTAGGAGAGAAGAGAGTGATCAAAATCTTAGTCCATTGCCTAACTACATAGCTTCATTACAACTATAGAAGGATGAATGTTAGGACATACCACACTTTGCGGAACACCGGGAGGAGGCAGGGGAAGGTTTCTCGGTGGTGCTTCATTAGTGAAACTTCTTTTATCGAACCTCCATTCTCCGATCTTTCCATAGGTTAACTTACCCTGAAATCAGGGCAGAAGAAATCTCACTATAGGTAAACGAAGACACTTTTTTTTCTTCCAACTCAGAAACTAATATTCCGGGGTAAAGCATTTTCATTCAACTGAAGCTAGATGATTGGGATTTCAGAAAACAGGTTACCTTCAAATCATAGTCACACCCATAAGTGAAATGAATGATGAACTTGTCACCGACTTCTGTATCCCAAGGAGGCTGATAACATGTCACAAAACAGACAAGTTCTAGTAAGAAGAATACGGGAAAAAAATCTGCATACCGATAATTGAAATGCCAGATGAATTCAAGAACCCCGGAACATAGCACTTTTCTCGAAACTAATCAGAATTCCAGAATATTATAACGAGAGTATGAAGGGGAAAGTCTCTACTGACAACACAGACAAGTTGAACTCATCCTAATATTCACCTAGGCTTGCTCTTCGGAAACTAAAAGGCGATATCCATCGAAAATGCTAGCTATAGGTAACAACGTGATACAATTGGCATCTTGTACCGTGTGAAGAAGAAATTATGGTTAAAAACGAATGACAATCCCATCAAACCTGGATCATGAAATCTTTGTGCAAGATGTTACCAACACCATGCAAGGCAGAGGAAACCGCATAAGCATACCTACAAGTACGGAACAAGAAAATTAACTCGAGGAGCACCCTAAACAAGAAGTTAAAAGTAGTTAAAACTCACATTTCAAGCACCCAACCGAAAGCTTTATCTGTTTCGAGATCTTTCTTCATTGCCAACGAGACATTCATCCAAGTTGGAGCAATTTTTTCGAGGGAATCCTAAATAATGTCCAAAGAAAGATCAAGACAACGCAAATGCTTCTGTTGTAACTAGGTAACACCCAAATTGCATACCTTAGCAATAATGACGGGAGAATTTCCTATGGGGTCGATTTTGGTTATCGGACCCTTGTTCTCAGGGAAGTACTTCCTCAGAATCGACTCGTACTTTTTAGGTTCTATATAAAAGAAAGGAAACGCAGCGCCGCGACCAGGCTTCGATAAATTCGGTATCGGCTTGACAATGATATGGTCTGGCTCTGCCATCAATATATAACTGGATACATTGTACAGAATGAGAATCAGAAAAATCAGTCAAAAATGAAAGATCACTAGACTCAAGAAAGAAATAACAAAATCAGATTTCTCACTCTTCTTTTATGTATGCCTTTTGGAGCCATTGTACAAACGCCCAAGGTCTGTTTAGGACTATATAGCCCTGTGATCAGCATAAAACATACAGTTAGATATATCAACAACAGATTACCCAAATCCGATGCCTTTTTTCATTTAATTGAAATCTATGAACTAAGCCCCATCAAAAGAAAATTGAAATTACCTTATCCGTTCCAGCTGGTAATGGCTGAGCAATAAAAGTGGGGATCTCATCCATGTACTTGTCGGGTTTACCCGAGTGCAATATCCGAGTAAACCCACCCATATCTGAATTGGGTCCATTCTTATGCTGCTGGAACCAGTAGTACATGACCCGGCACTGCCAAGTGTTGTAAACCGAGTCGGAAGCTGTCACGGCCGTGTGAAACAACCTCTTCTTTGAATTTGACCCTTGAGGCATCATCTTGATTAATGGGTCGGAATTCGATGATATTGAAGGACCGGGAAGCTCTTGCTTTAGAGGAGAGTTGGCTGAGATTAGGATGTTGTAGGTGATTAGAGCTACAGAGAATGTTACGATTAAGGTGTAGAAGGTGTTCCTACACCCCATTTTCACGCTCTGCTTCTCTTTTTATTGAAGTAGAACTTTTTGTATGTGGTGGAGCGGCTCAAGGGACTGGCGGAAACTGCCTATAACGGCGGCGTATGAAGAAAGTCGTCTCTTTCTTAAACCAAGTAGCAGTGATATATTATTCAGTTTAAGCAGCTGTTGCGATTAAATAAACGTTTTTAGCTGTTCTGATCATGTTTTCAGTGTTGACCAAGAGCTTGGTAGAATTGTCAAAATCTCCAAACAAGAATGGCCTAATTTCGATTTTGATCCCCCTCTATTATACTCAAATTTAAAATTTAATCTTTGTCCCTAATTTGATATGATTTAGTTTATTAATTTTAGGGAAAATGACAACTTTTGTCCCTAATTTGATATGATTTGGTTTATTAATTTTAGGGAAAATGACAACTTTTATCCCTATAATAAACTCAATTTATCACCTCGCCTATATTGTATTTTACATCAATTTAACCTCTAAATCATAAACGCTAAATCCTAAACCGTTAATTTTATAATATCGTTAATTAATTTAAAGCAAGCGAAATTGTACAAGCAGGCATTTTACATTATGAAAATGGGGTACACCATTAATTAATGAACTTTAAAATATCGCATTGGATGCCCAACTTTTATAAGATACAAGGTCAAATTACCATGTCTGCCTAACTGAACCAATACCGTCCGTTCACGCTTTGTTAAATACGGTACTATGCTACATTGACTGCTTGCAAGTGCAAATCAATAAATTAGGCCGAACACACAGCTAAATTAAGAGGGGTTTCCAACGACCACTTCCCATGATTAAACATAGTCTCTATGTTTCTTTCCGAACACACATCGACAAGCCGTCTCGAGGAATGAAGGTAAAAGTATAGATTCCCTTTGCTGTTCTTTTTTTATTGATTCTCATCCGTCATTGTTGTTGAAGAGGCTTGGCATCAGGGTAAAAATCCATGGACACAGATAACATATACCTTCAAGGAAACTAAGTAGCTACGTCGATCGAACTATCCCTCAACTGCTTTTCGTATTCGAGGGAATCGATCAGCCCATCTAGAATATCCTGCATCGGGATTAAAAATTAGCATGTATGAGGCCAGTTCAAAAAACGACCTTAGACTAACTAATGTTTACAATTATATATATACACACACTCGGAAAGGACAAACCTGCAGTAACAATCTCTAGAAGATCCATGTCTGCTTTAGCAACATCAGACATACCCTACAATAATGAGACATCGAAATATTAGCTCCACAATTTATGAAACAAATATACACACAGATGAACATAGCATCGGCTTTTACCTGTCCCCATGAAGCCAAGCTTCTTGCAATGAGCCGTGACAGGCTATCGAGACAGCTGCTACTAAAACCAGGATGATTCAAAAGATCATTTTCCGATGACAAATCAAATATCAGTGAGCAAATACTCGAAGCCATCATGACAACAGATTGGTCATTAGTTTTCTCTGCAACAAAACTCAGCAATTGCTTAGAATATGCGTTCGGAGGAAGAAATGCTAGAGTAAAAGTTCAATGAAGTAAAAGCAAATGATATTCCATGAAAATTCTACACTGAAAGTAATCAAATAATTTATCAGTTATCACTTTCCGTAGTATTTCCTTCAAGTAACATGTCACGACATTGGCTCAAAGAAATGACTGAAACAGTACCTGTCCAAAGTGCCAGTGCCTTCAAAAGATTAAAAAATGTTGATTCATCCTCAGGAAAGGGAAATTGCTCTCTCTGTTGATAAACAAAATGGAGTCAATACATTACACAAATGAAGTATTTTACGACAATACGATAACAACCGCCACCTTTAAAAGAAAATTCATAATTGTATCACAAGCCAAGAAAACACAATCGTTATCCTCAACCCCATGTATGTTCTGCTCTATCAACTTTATGAGGCAGTCAACAACCTGCAATGAAACCAATATTTTAACATGATAATAAGAAGTTTACACCAAGTATGACAACAGTGGCGCATATATAGGTTGTATTTGTGTCGGAAAGATATACTTACAGCTTTATAACCTCCAGAAGAGGCCAAAAGTTTGCATCCTTCAATTTCCATAGTCATTTGACACAACATTGGTAGCAGAAAGCATACAGAGTAAAATGGACTGCATCAAAGTTAATTAGCAAAAATATTCAGAAATGTTGGTCACAAACTACAAAAACGAAACAAAAGACATATGTCTCAAATTATCAATAAACTACAGCATTAATTTTCCTTACCTTGATTCATCTTCACCTTCAACTGAAAGCATATACCCCAAAAGTTCCTCGATTTTATCTTTGCATGCAATGGGTGTTTCTGCAAGATAGCTAAAACAAACACAAAAATCAGCTCAACATAAAATTCATCCTAGGTGCAAAAGATCAGCATACAAGGCTTGATCATGTTCATGTACACCTATATATATATATATATACATATATAAAAAGGGAAATGACGTCAAAACTTTGGATGAAATGGAATAAAAAATACCTCCCAATAAGACGTACTGAAGCAAGAAGATCATTTCCTACTTTTTGCCCATGTTCCTGCAAAATGTAAACTGTAAATAAAAGAGGTGAAAGAATTATTAGTATCATCGTTCTAACCATACCTTTGCATCTTGTAGATATTCTAGAACCACACCAATTGTCTCATTAAGCCCATTGATCACCTTTATGAAAGTACTTTCATCAACAGGGTTCCCTGTGATTGAGTTTCCTCATTAAATTCCTTAAATAAACAGCTTATAAAGTACATACCCGAAAATAACAAGAACCCTTGCAACGAACTGAACAAAAGTTTCAAAGGTAGCAAAAGCAAAACCGTATAATAAGCAATGAAGCACAACCACACTAGTATATCTATGAATTGTTAACATGCCTTCAGTTTCACCAATGTTTGATATCAATTTTATTATCTTCTCCACCAAGGAAAAGACAATAGTCACTTTCTGTTGCTTCGAAATTATAGTTTCAGCTGTTGATGAAGAACTCTTAGAAGCTTCATATTTTGTGTAGGCTAGATCATTCAGCAAAACAGCAACTTCAACCCTTGAAGACTCTAAGACAAGCAATAGACACCTGAGAAATAAATTTACAAATAATGAAGTCCCAGTCAATTAAAGTAGCAATAGAAGAAACAAAAAATTTAACAGGCACTGCTTTACCTGTCAGCTGGAATAGGGTCCTGTACATTAGGCAAGTTTATTTGACCAATCAACCAACTTTCACCCTTTATAGATGCCATGGATTCAGCTAGAATAAGGGCCTCAAATTTTTCAGCAGGTGCTGCATTAAAATAGCAAAAACATAAATACCAGTGTGTTTCACTGATCAAAACTGAAAGTTTTGCCCAGGAAGGAATAGAAAAAATTCAGTTTAGCATACCAACACGGTTCTGTAAGATTGTTGCAACACCATCACGTATATGGTTTGACCAGTTCTCATTTGGAACAACACGGAGAGCATCATGAAGTAATGTCTAAAAGTACCGAGTGAAAATCTGATCAGTCTAAAGAAATATGGTTCCTAAGGATTAACCATCCAAAGCAATAACTTCTTCGATAAGAAAAGGAGGGCAAGTGCATACCGAATATTCTGAAGAGAAGATGGCAGACAATAAATGAAGTGCTTCAAACTTTAAGGCACTTTGTAGGAGAGCAAATTGTCTTGCTACTTCCGCCACCTAAATTGAAAGGGAAATGATCAAAATTTGTTGTTTGTGAACTAAAGATTGAGAAAAAAAAACTTAAAGGCTACAAAAACATCTAGACATACAACGATTGAAAGCTCAGAGTGATGGTCATTTTCAATGATGCCTTGAGAAAGCTTCTTCAGCATCATCTGTATAAGCTTCATGGCAAGTTCCATCAAATGAGACCCTGCAACAAGTTCACATGCTAAAACTTTTCTATAGACAGTAAAATTCAACTTGCAAATCCGTAACACCGTATAACTAATTATGCTAGGTACCCAGAAAGTTCAGACACAAAGACTCAATACAAAACAACATATTCTCTCCAAACATAAAACTTCCAGCCATCGTCATGATGTATACTGTCATAATATAAGGCCCTGGAAGTGCCAGATTCTAGAATATTGAGTATGTAAATAAGTTACCATCTGACAGAGCGGACATTTGACCAGCAAGTGCCTTCATCCCTCCACGCTCGTACAATGCTGTCATCCCATCTCGGAAGCAGATGACACCAAGTACAAAAATTCATAGCATTCTTCCAGCACAGGTAAGCCTGATCTGCATTCAAATACATATATATAGAACAAGCAAGATTAGAGTAAAAATCATCTTAGTCTAAGCTAGAATTCGTATTTTGTACAGAATATTTCTAAATTACTCCATAAAGTGGAACGTGGATAAAAAGCTTACTCCTTTGACATTACTTCCAAAACCATTGGAATCTTTGAAACCATTTCTTTTGAAGAAGCAATCTCAGGAACTCGACAAAACGCAGATAGAACCGTAACCGACAGCTGCAAATAGGCATCCCGGTTTTCACCATTACCACTACTCACCACACCTTTACCTAACCCTTTTTTTAACCAACCAAACAAAAGAGAGTAAATTTTACCATAAAATAGAATGAAAAAAAATCAGATAAAGAAGCATAAACCAATACCGGTCCTTAAGAGGCGGTCCAAAAAGTGAGGTCCAACAGCATCGTAGATAGCTTTAAGGGAAACAAGATCGTCACTTTGAGTGAATTTGGTGACGAGAAACAAGCCAGCCAGCCGCTGCTCGTCTCTCTCGCCTTTTAGTAGCTTCAAGCAATCCTGGAGAGGTACTGATTGTGATTGTTCTACCTGCTGCTGCAGCGATTGTGGCTCCTACCATAAAATAAAGGGCAAATATTATATATAAAAAAATTTGAAAAGAAAAATAGATTGATTGGGGAGAGTTCAAGGAATTAGCTTTACCATGGAAGCTGAGGACGGATGGCAAAGCAGAGATTTTTGGTGGGTTTTAGTTGGTTTTCGTGGCTTGACATTCATTGACCTTTGTATTAAAAATTTTCCAGAGGAGTTTCCAGAGGAGTTTATAATGGCCCAAACATGTAAGGCGTAGTTTCATTAGGTGGGTTTCAGTTATAGTTTGAGATTGCCTCGCCTCGCATAGATTTCCCGGGCCATCATCATCGCGCCTATATCGGATAAAATTGGTCCAATAGGCTAATTATTTAGCTTAATATGGTGATTAAATTTGTTATTTTGAGAACTATATTTGGTATGGTAACTTAGAACTTGTCATATGAACATGACGAATTTTAACAAAAAATATTTTTTCTTAAAATTTATCATTTCGATGTGATAAATTTTTTAAAATATATATATAAATATATATTAAACTTATCACATCGGCTTCGAATTAACAAAATTATTTGGATAAATTTATCACGTGGGACTGATGAATTTATTATATACCGTAACATTTGTCGTATCCCAAATTAATTTTAAGAACAACCTAATGAATCATTTTTTTATCCGACAGACCTATTGAGATATCGAGATCATTTCAAATGAAGCAACTCTGATTTGGACTAGAAGAAAACCATACTCACCACCTGAGGCCAAAAGTTTAGAGTGAATGACTATGGAAAAATTTATATATATATATATATCGTAATAGTTATCTTTAAATATATAAAGAAAATTTATAATGATTACATTTAAATTCGTAGTATATAGATAATGTTAAATATTATAATCGAACTTATTAACATAATTTCGTTTATATATTTAATATACCTCACAATTTTGTTGATCAAATTAATTGGATGATTATTTAATTATTCGACTTTAAATCTCATTTTTACAACGTTAGGCATAACTAAACATCTTCACCTACCCTTTGGATCGTGCAGATGATTGCTCGAAGATAATTTTACTGTTGCATTGTCCGACCATGTCGATGTGTTAATCTAACTAGACATATTAATCTCGTTATCTTAATCCTCTAGATAGAACCATGATTGCAATACCAGTTGGTGAGTGGCCGGTGCGGGGCTTTTATTTTAATCAATAAATCTATGTAATTGCCAGTTAGACCACATTGGCCCTTTCTCAACGGTCGAGAAGCAGCTGGATCCACGTAGGCTAAAGCAAGTGAGCTGTAAATGGCCGGCAGATGCCCGTAACCGAGGCCTTTGCATGTTTCTTTATATACCAAACGATATCCCACAGAGCGTCGCGCATCGCATCCTCCCATGGCGGCCACACCACAAGAAAAACCAGCGCAAGCTAAAGAAACACGGCCGTTAAGAGCCGAAGACGAAGACTACTCCCAAGATTTCGAAGACCCTTTATCATCGTCCTTTTGCGGCGGGTGTTTCCGGGGGATTTTCCGGTGGCGGCATGGATACCTGCTGCAATATGAAGAGAACAGAGAGAGTTGGGTGAAGAGGAGAGCCAAGAAACTGCAGGAGATATCGGAGTTATTGGCGGGTCCAAGGTGGAAGAATTTCATTAGAAGGTTCAGTATTTACGGCATCAACAAGAAAAGAAGGTCGACGACGATGCAGTACGATATTCAAAGCTATGAACTCAACTTCGATGAAGGGGTCCATAGAGAAGCTGACGCTGGATACCTTGGTTTCTCTGCTAGATTTGCAGCTCCAGCCGGGATAAACAAAGGGTAGCTTCTGGGATCTGCGGTATATGGTTTTTTGATCATTTGAAACTGATATATATATTGGTATTAAATTGTAATCGAGTGATTCTTTTCTTGTTCATTGTTCATTTGTTTTTCCAGATTCATATACAGTATATACGGCCAATAATAATGTTATCTTGTTGATTAAAAATGGACTAAATCATAACTTATGTGTAATTTGACCCTTTCTAGTTAAATTTAGCTAAATTAGAATATGGACTAAATCATAACTTATGTATGATCGATGGACTAATTACAGAATTTAACCTTATTAGTTTTCACTGTCATGTGTTATTTGTGCGGCCTATTGGACTAAAAGGAAAGGACTATCAATCTTCATTATAATATAAGTTGATTTTAAGTTGGGATTATCTTTTAGTTGAGACAATTAAGATTAAGATTCGACATGTTAATAACTTTAAATTCAAGATATTTAATATTAAGGGTAAAGTACACAAATGGTCTCTCGTTTATAGAGTATTGTTTTTTAGTCATCCAACTATTAAATGCTATAAAAGGGTCCCCTGATTATAGGACATTGCTTTTTACGTCTCGACTATTAACAATTACAAAAATGGTCATCCAACTATTTATTGTGTTTCAAACTCGTCATTTTTTATTAAAAAATTGATGATAATTTGAGTTGCACGTTAACCAGCTAACCGGGATATAATGTTCGGATTCGATCCGCAGCGCTTGTCTTCCGCGGACGATACCCGAGAGCTGGCTTTCGAAGCCGTCCTGAGCACTATACGGATTGTAGAGAGAAGTAACGTTACATCCCTGTCCAACAGCATATCCGAATATCTCGTCGACAATTACAAGTTCGACCCCGAAACGATCTCTGATGATCCCGACTCACCCAACATTCTCATCATCATCGATGTAAACCAAACTTGGGTTCCGGTAAGCTGTCTATATCGTGGATGGAATGGCTTAATAACGAGGAAGCAATCGATAATGACGACGACGAAGACGTTATAGAGGCATTGGGAAAATCACTGGACTGGACGGATTATATAATTCAATTGGAAAGAGTGTGGGGAGTGGATTCGGTTGAAGTATGTGATCATATAGATATAGCGGTGATGAGCGCAGCATGTGTGCCATCTGCTTGGAAGATCTGTCCAGTGGAACCTGCATGAAGCTGCCATGCTCACGTGTTTTTCACAAGGGATGCATTGTTCAATGGATTTGGGAGCAAACTTGCACCATGTGCAGATCTTCATTGGGAAGGAAGTGGTACGTGTCCTCCTCTTAAAGGATGCTTTGGAATTGGAAGGGAAAGATATAGGTCAATTAGATTATCAAGGCATTGTATTTTAGTTTAAACTGTTTATTTTTAGTATAAAATTTCATTTAATTTTTAGCTTCAGTGTACACTAATATTAATTTTTTTTAAATTCATTGAGTTCGAACTAATCGAATTAAAATTACTTATGCTTATTATCGAATCAAATTTAAATTTATATCAATAGAACGAATTAAAAGAAGGCTTCCAAGCATATGTGCAGCCAAATGTGAAGGCTTTATATGTCATCTTCTGCTGCAAATGCAAACTCTACATTACAATGCTGGAGAAAGAAATGGCTATAATAATGATCTAAGCATGACTGTAAAGATTTGTGCAAAGTTTTATTGCACTGTACTCTCACTACTGCATTACCTGCAAAAAGGGGTTACGGATCGGGTTGCGGAATTTCTATGTCGTGTGTTCGATTTCATGGTTGAAGTTTAGATGTAACGGGATGTCGTCGGGGATTGATGTCCGGTCGAGAAGACGATCGTGGTCATGTTTCTCACTTTTCACCTGCATTACTTGTTTTGAAAAAAGGGTTGGTACTTGGGATATGAAACTGCAATGCTCTAAAAAAATGGCTAGAAATTAACCGAAACAAGACATGCATTACGTTGAGTATACCTTTTACGTTTGCTCTTCGAGACGGTTGAACTTGATGGATTGCTATGCCAGTTCCTTTTCCTCTGCTTGATGGACCAATTGTTTATCTGCATTAGTTGTGACTTGTAAGCCTGTTTCTTGAACCAACCTCGCCTTTCTTCCTCTGAAAAATCCGACAATTAACCGCGACCTAACATGTTACAGAAACCGAATTGTAACCAAATTACTTACAGTAGGGTATGGCCACTTGGAATGTGCCTGCCACCAAGCTTTTAAAACTGCTGTTGTATCACCAGGTAGCTTTCCTGTTCTTCTCTTGCGTAAAATTTCCTCCCTTATGTCAACAATTTTCTCCTTGTAACCCTATAAGGAATGTAAAACCAAGTAAACATCGATTTGGATGATAAAAAAATATATGTAAAAACAATGATTTTTCATTAATTTTATTACATGTTTGAGTTCATGTTTCATTTCTTGTCTCACACGCTCCATCAGAGACCTTTCACTCTCCGTCGGGACGAGAGGTCCGAATCCCATGGAATCCAGACCGTCGAAACTTCCGTCAAACAACTTGGCATCACTGTCCACTTGGTCTTCATCATCATCGGACATTGTAGCACCTGTTCCTTCCCCTGGAGAAACTCCTGTTTATGTGTCGAACAGAAATGACGGGGTGAATATCGGATATTGGTATTTGTTTGACGTAATGCAAATTGTTGGAAGCAAGAATATTAATGCACATCATCTGCTTGACATTTGAGCAAATATACCTGTTAAGCCCTGTAAGAATTGTTCGATTTCACAGCATGCCATAACTGCTTCCATTGCATGCACCCGAACATGTTGTTGCAGTTGTTCTTTAAATGAACATAGCAAGAGAACGTAATGCGTCTAGCAAGTTCAAAATACAAAAATCTATTAAAATGATCTGAGTTATAGTTTGAGGATGTTTAGTGAAATTAAACCAGATATAAATGGAAACACTCTGTTTCATTTTTCAGTAAGATTGAACTCCCAAAACAGAGTGAAAACATAGAAGAAACCAGGAAAGCATTAATGAATGGTTTTCAAAGAGTAGTGGCATACCAAGAATTGATCGAGCTCCTGTCATAAGCAACCAAACCCTGGGCTCCGCTGCCTAGAGCCGAGTACTTGGCTACCACATGCTGCGACTGAGCCAGCTGAGCGTCGATCCTCGGGAGCTGATCCACCGGAGTGGCGACCCTGAGACACGACAGGTGTGCTGACAGTAGCTGCTCGTACAAGGGGTGCGCTAGTATCTCCGCCTTGCACCTCTCATTTTGTCAATTCATGGCCCCGTCTCCTCCACTTTCCACTACGACGCCTTCGCTCTTGTTGTTATTCAAAGTCTCGCTGTTACTGTTCTTCAAATTCCCCGATTCCACGGCCATCATGGAGTCCCCGCCACCGCCTCCTCCTCCTCGTGTGGTGGCATCCACGTTTTCGATGAAGTCGCTGCGGTCGCGTTGAAGAAGAGAAGACGACGAACGTGACAGCCACCGGGTTGGAGCTTGGGGAACCGTGGAGGTGGAGTCCGAACCAGTTTATTCAGTATGAAGGTTGAGTAAGCCGTGGTCAGAGAATTGACCACCCTGCGGCTGAGGCTGCTGCAAACGAAGGAGGGCGGAGTTCAACCAATTGGGACCGGCGGTTTCCGCTTGTTGCTCGTCGGTGAAGTGATGAAGAGGAAGGTCTCGGGAAAGATGGTCACTTTGGTGAAACGCCATGGATACGGATACGAAAGAGAGAAATATGACGACAACGAACGACGTTTCGACGATTATGCATTCATGGTCGTCCGATAGAGAGAGAAAATGAAGGGAAAGAAGTTACAGTCTTTGTATATGTAGAGAGAGAAAGTAAACACAAAGTCGAAGGGTATGAGTATAATATGATTGTGACTATGGAGTTACTGTAAGAAGCGTGTTTGATGAGAGAGTTTTGAGAGAAAGGTAAAGCAGCGTTGGAGAAGCTATTTTCAGGTCAAGAAACCTTCTTTATGTTATGAAAAATGGTGAAAGGAGATTTCTTTTTCATTGTTTTCTGGGGAAACAGTCACATACATTGGGATTGGAAGCTGATGGTCTCGCTTTCGCCCAATGTTTTATGCTCACTTGGGTGGACTCTTACCAAATACCCCAACAGTGAAGTGAATGGTTGCTTAGACGCCACGTGTCGAGCTCTAAACTCACATAAAAACAAAGAATCGGGTACGACCCACCCGCCCTAGGTTCCGTGGAGCATCCGCTACCTTTGTAGAGACGGTCAACATCGACCAACAGTAGTTCGCCACGCTTATTCAATGTCTCAATCATTCGCATGAACCAGTAAAGAGATTTTGATTACTCTATGACAAATATGAGATAATATATGTTGAAGTTGCCCTTAATTAATTATCTGATATGAATGTTTAATCCTTTGATATTTCAGAATTTAAACTCGAGATTTAAGAAATAAAAAAAAAATTATCATTGAGTTCATGCTATATATATCTTTATTAATTTAATTTTATTTTGTTTTATAAAAAATCTAAATCCTCCTCTTCAGTCGTTTACCTCAACCATTTTCCGACTTTCGTCCATCACATAAACATCCTAAATCATCACAATCTTATCTTTACATTAACAATCTGGAGTATTAAATTTGATTGTAAAATTATCCAAATTTTATATAAAAGATCTGGTGCATACAGATTTTTCATTAATTAATTTAATATTTAAACTAAGATCAATGGTGGTGTTATTTATACTAGTATGCAAATGTTTGTCGCCAGATCCTTTGAATATAAGCGTTGCCCATGGTGCATGAATTGTGTTCTTTAGGAAGACACGTTTATGTTTTAGATTTTAAAATGTATGGACTAAACCTCCAGTTTTATCAAAGTGTTAGGACTGGTGGCATATTTTGACCAAAAAGTAACAACAATTTTTTGTCCAATTTCCCTTTGATAATTCTTCGAAGCAGTTGAAATTAGAGGCGATTTCAACTATGAAAATAACATGTTTCCCCCTTGGTCCAAAAGGTCAAGCCGAGCCCTTTAGTGAAGGCGGAATTTCATGAGAGAT